TGATTGAATAAATGAATGTAGCTACAGATCATCCAAACCGGTTTGTGGAGGGACAATTATTTTTCTCCTTGTGACAAAAAATGTGCAGTGAGAAAGCTGGGTAATAGTTTCTATGGGATGGTGCTTGGTGGGGAAGCTGTATGGAAGGAATATGGGTTTTCGGAAGTTAGAATATGGGCAGGAGAGGAGGAGGTGACTGAGATGGTGAAGAACTGAACCTGATTTTGTGGAATTTCTGTCCTTCATTCCACCACAAAGGCTGCCCATAGCTTCTCCTAACATGGGCAAGATGTCATTCTGTTTATTGAGAAAGCTGGTCAAGGGTGGAGTTTTTTGTCAAAGAATGTAAATGACTAGTGTGGAGATGAGGGAAAACCAGAACAGGATGATAACATGCAGTATCTCAGAAACTGTGGAGAGAGGTTATAACCCACCACATTGTAAAATTAAATATTCCAGTTAAGGTTGTACTATGTTTTCTTATAATTTCTATATCATAGGTATCTTTATATTTTATATAACTGCTCACCATCACTCTACTTCTTTATTTTTAATATGATTTAGTTAACAAATATATCATGCTTACTATATGGTGATGCTTACGACACACATAAATGTTTTATAAATATCAATTCATTAAATCCTCATAACAATCCTGTTACATAGAACTAACTGCTCTTTTAGAAATAATAAACAAACAAACAAAAAAACAGTGGCACAAATAGGTTAAGTGATTCCCTAAGATTACCAAAAACAGAAATTGCTCTGAGATTTAAACTTTGGAATTCTAGTTCAAGACACTGGGTTTTTCACTATTTTGATTTGTTAATCCATGCTCTCTCACCCATCATTTAAGCCCTCTTCAGTGGTTAAAAGGTAACAGAAAAGGTGCATTCCTGTTTGAGCAAATTTTGCTGAATTTGGGCAAGGCAAAACCTTTTCTAGCCCTTCAAATCAGTTCTACCCAGGAAGGTCATGGCTAAGTTACCGGTTTACCAGCACTCTCATTCAACATCAAGAGAACTACCTCAGGTTCTGAGTATTGTTGCAAGTGCATATAATTCACCCTTCTGTAATACAGAATTCAGTGGTGTTTAATATATTCAAAAATTTGTATAAGAATCCCTGCCATCTATTTCTAGAACATTTTATCACCCTAAAAATATACTTCATATTCTTTAGTACTTAATCTATCTGCCTCCGTCCACCTCTGAGCCTATGGCAACCCAAGATCTGTTTACGGTCTCCATACTTATTCTAGAAATTGTGTAGAAAGGTGATCACACACAATGTGTCCTATTGTGTTTAGTTTCTTTCAGTTGCAAATTTCTCTGTTTATCCATGTTGTAACATTCATCAGTACTTTGTAAGGCGACATAATATTCTCTTAGAAGGCTAAAACTCATTTTGTTTTTTCAGCAGTTAAGTGACACCGGGTTATCTACTTTTTGGTCACTATAAGTAACACTGGTAGGACATCAATGTAAAAGTTTTTGTGTGGTCGTATGCTTTCAGTTCTCTGGGGAACATGCTTAGGAAAGGGATTGCCAAGTCATATGGTAATTCTGTGCTTAAAATTTTGGGAAACTACCAAACTAGTTTTCTAAGAGGCTGTGTGATTTTACTTTCCTGCCAGGAACCTAGGAGGGTTCTATTTTTCCTGCGTTCTTTCCAATAATTGTTATTGTTCATGTTTTTGACTTTAGACTTCCTAGTGGGTCTGAAATGATAGCTCATTGTGGTTTATATGATGATTTGGACCAGGAAATTAGCTCACTAGTTAAGATGCCCACATTCTATATCAGAGTACCACGGTTAGACTCCTGACCAGCTTACTGCTAATGCAGATCTCAGGAGGCAGTGTGATGACTCAAGTAACTGGATTCCTCCCACCCATCTAAAAGATTATGGAGAAATTTTCAATTTGTGGCTCTGGCCCCAGTCCATCCCCATTATGGCATTTGGGAATTGAATTAGCTGATGGGAATGCCTCTATTCTTCCCTCTTTGCCCACCCCCAATTCTGTATGCCTCTCTGATTCTCAAATAAATTTTTAAAATAATGACTACTTATGTTGACTGTTATTTGGCATCTTTTCATTTACTTATTGGCCATTTTTATGTGATGGAGCTTCAAAATTCATGAAAAATTGTATTAAAGGATAACTTTATTTTGGGGCAAAAATAATTAAAATCAAAGCACAGTTTTTTCATAATATACATTTTCCATGAACTTTTGAAGGTTTTTACATCTTATTTGAATAAAAGTCTACCCATTCAAATCCCTTGTCCCTCTCTAATGGGCCTATTTACCTTTTTATTATGGAAATAGTTATGAAATTCTTCATGTTTTTGAGATCAGCTCTGTATCAGATATGATATTCACATATTTTCTCCTACATATTCTCATTTCACTGCCTCATGGTGTCCTTCAAAGTACACAAGTTGTAAATTTTTAACTGTGTGAAATTATTTGTTACTTTTCTGGATCTTGGTGCCATAGGTAGGAAATTATTGCCTAATCCAAGATGGTGAAATTTATACGTAGATTCTCTAGTGAGGGTTTTATAGTTTTTGCTAATATTCAGTTCAATTTTGTGTTCATTTTTCGTATTTGATGTGAAGGAGAAGTCTGACATTGTTTGGCATGTAGATATCCCCAATTGTTTTGGCACCGTTTGTTAGACTGCTCTTTTCCTCAGTGAACTATCTTAGCCCTTGTCAAATATCAATTCATCATAAACATAGATTTATTTCTGGGCTTTTAATCCTGTTTCATTGATTTATATGCTTATTATAATTGCACCACTACCATGCAGTCTTGATTATTGTAGCATTATAAGTAGTTCTTAAATTTTTACTTATTTGAGTGGCAGACAGAGATGGAGACAAAGAGTGAGCTCTGTCTTCCCTACCCTGCCCTAGTTCACTTCCCAAATACAATGGCTGGGGTTGTGCTGGGCAGGAACCCAATGACTTAAGTTTTCACCACTGTTTCCCAAGGCCTACATCAGCAGGAGTTGGGAGCTTGTGATGACATCAAACTCAGGTACTCTGAGGTGCGATGTGGGTGCCTTAACTGGCAACTGCTAACCAGGCTAAAAGGCTGGCCCCGTCATACACTTTGACAATTGAAAGTATGATTCCTTCAATTCTATTCTCTTTCAGTTTCTTAAAAAGAGATTTATTTATTTGAAAGACAGAGACAGAGAAAGAGGACGCCCTTCCATCTTCTGCTATACTTCATAAAAATCTGGGACTGAGCCAGGAGCCTGGAACTTTATCCAGGTCTTCCACATGTAAGTTAGGGGTCTAAGAATCTGGGCCATCTTCTGCTGCTTTCCCAAGGGGGCTGAATGGGAAGTGTAGCAGCTGGGACTTGAAGTGGAGCTCACATGGGATGCCAACATCAGAGGCAGCGGCTTAACCTGCCATAATGTTAAAGCCCCTCAGATTTCTTTTTACTTGACTTTTCTGGTTCCCTTGTATTTCCATATGACTTTAGAATCAACTTGTCAATCTCCATAAAAACAAATCAGGCTAAGAATTTCATGAGGTTTGGGATGAGCATTTAGATCAGTTTTTGAAATACTATAATTATTTTAAGATTTATTTATTATTTGAAAGGCAGAGTTGCAGAGAGACAGAGAGGCCTTCCATCTGCTGGTTCACTGCACAGATGGCTATGATGGCCAAAGCTGTACCGATCTGGAGTCAGGAGCATCTCTGGGTCTCCCATGCGGGTGCAGGAGACCAAGAACTTTGTTATGGCCTGGAAAAGCAGTAGAAGATGGCCAGAGAGCTGGATTGGAAGTAGGGCAACCGGGTCTCAAATCATTATAGGATGCTGGTACTACAGGCAACAGCTTTACCCGCTATGCCACAGCACTGGCCCTGGAAATACTATAATTTTATAATTATTTCATCTTTCAAACCCAACTTATTTGGGTTTTCTTTTCAATGTTTTCTAGTTTTCAATATGCAGGTCTTAAACTTATTTATTTTATGGTAAGCAATTTACTATTTTCATTTTTCTTTTACTGGAGTATTTAATTCATTTTATGTAATACATTAACAGAGGTAGGATTATATCATCATTTGCTATACATAGGCACACATTTTCAACATACCTATTACTTGTATAAATGAAATTATTTCCAATTTCCTAGACACTAAAGGTCTTTCACTGTACTCCTGGTTGTCCTTTCTAGAGCAAGCTCTAACCATTTTAATTAATAGGAACACTTGTCTTTGGATGTATTTGATTATGACAGATGACTGAAAATTAAATCCTTCTTGTATTAGAATACAAAGATGTAATTTTTCATATTTGCATCAGAATTAGAGGAAAGGCAATCTGAGTTGGTTTTATGTAGGAGATGGAATTGAATTATGTCCTAAAGTGAGAATGGATCCTGGTCAAGTTTGACAATGCTGTTTAACTTGCCTGTCACTTGATCTATTTATCTAAACTTTGCAGGCTTGAAATCTTTGGAAATGTGCTGGGGTCAGCTCACAATGTCTTCTTTAAGCAAAGGGTGGAGGAGTGGAAGAAAGCAGAATTCTGGGTGAGGCCTCAAAGGACAAAAGGGGAGGAAAGTTGCCTGAGCAGAGGGACTGGTGTTCTGCTAAGCCTGGAATTGCCTCAGGCATATTTGACAAATAGCAGTGAAATAATTTATTGGGAAAGTTTGTGTTATTTTAGTATAGTTGAGAAATACAGTCATAGTCCAGATGGTCTTGAATATCAAGTTTAGTATTGAATATTTTGAGAGTGTGTGTGTGCGTGCATGCTAAATGGCATCTTAGATTAATATGGAAGCATTGAGAAGACTGGAGTCCGGGAACACCAGAGAAGATGATGTGTTCACTATATAAAGATGCGTTGGTAACAGCCTGGGATAGGACGATGACAGTAAAAATGGGAGACAATATATTTGAGTTTACTTACAGAAAAGAAAATGGGTTGTGAAACAGAAATCACATAAGGAATCAGCTTACCTGAGTGTGCAGGCTGATGTGTGGCTCCTGTCAATCCAGGAAGAGCTCATGTGTGAACTTGAGTAGGAATATAAGGAGAAAGAGAGATCTTTCAGCTCAAGACAGTTAGGCAAACTAGTTCGCTATTTTCATTTGTTCTTGTCTCCTTTCATTGGAGCATTTAATTCATTGTCTGTAGTACATTATCAGAGGTCCTTCTATCTGTCCTATTCAAGCCTTAAACTTTTGAATGAGGCTCACCCACCTTACAGAGGGCCATCTGCTTTTCTTGCTTATCAATTTGCTCAATTCATCCCCAAAATCACCCTTACAGAATCACTCAAAATAATGCTGAACTGAATCTCTAGGAGCTTTGTGGCCTACTCAAGTTCACATATTAAAGAAACCACTGGCCGGTGCCGCGGCTCAATAGGCTAATCCTCCGCCTTGCGGCGCCGGCACACCGGGTTCTAGTCCTGGTTGGGGCACCGGATTCTGTCCCGGTTGCCCCTCTTCCAGGCCAGCTCTCTGCTGTGGCCAGGGAGTGCAGTGGAGGATGGCCCAAGTGCTTGGGCCCTGCACCCCATGGGAGACCAGGAAAAGCACCTGGCTCCTGCCTTCGGATAGGCATGGTGTGCCGGCCGCGGTGGCCATTGGAGGGTGAACCAATGGCAAAAGGAAGACCTTTCTCTCTGTCTCTTTCTCTCACTGTCCACTCTGTCTGTTAAAAAAAAAAAAGAAACCATTAGGCTTATGAATATGAAATTAGCAATTTGTGAGTTCTTTGGAGATGGGAGGAACACAGGATGGTTGGAGAATTCTTTTTGTGAGTCAGTCTCTGCTTTTTGGCAGCTGACCCTGTTTCCTCAGTAATCAGTGGGGACATTGTTAGCACCATAAGAGAGATTAACTGGGCAGTGAATGTTGAAGTGCTTTCAAGTACAGTGGCTTTCAACAATCCACAATCATTTACAATTACTATGACCACTGTGGCTATCCATCTGGCTCTCTGCTGCAATGATAGTTCTTCAGGGAGAACCACTCAGACAGTTCCACCTAAAATCGTACATCACCGTGTGATCACTCCCATCACCATTCTTTTAGGGGTTGAACCATCCACCACGCCCCATTCCAAATCCATATGTTGACATCCTAATCTATTACTCCCAAATGTGACTATATTTGGATATACAACCTTTTTAAAAATATTTATTTATTTCAAAGAGAAAGGGGAGGGGAGGAAGTATCTTCCATCCACTGGTTCACTCCCCAAATCCTAAATGGCCACAACAACCGGACAATGCCAGTCCAAAGCCAGGAGCCAGAAGCTTCTTCCAGGTCTTCCACATGGGTGCAGGGGCACCCATTTTCTTCTGCTTTCCCAGGCACATTAATAGGGAGCTGGATTGCAAATAAAGCAGCTGAGAATTACCAGTGCCCCTATGGGATGCCAGCATTGCAGACACAGGCTTAACCTGTTGTACCACAGTGTGGACCCTGGACATAGAACCTTTAAAGAAATAATTAAGGGTCAGTGAGATCACCAGGTAGGGCCCTCATCCAATCATTGGTGTCCTTGTATGATGGGAAAATGAGTACATGGACAGTTCAGAGGGAAGAGCTCCTGAAGAGAGAAATACAGGAGAAAGTCCTTAGGAAAAGTCAATCCTGACAACAACTTGGTCTTGGACTTTTAATCTCTTGAATTGTGAGAAAATATTGGCATTCACGTAAGCTAAGATACCTTTATTTTCATTTTTAGTATGGATCCAAACTTGATATTATTTTATACATGAATTTATTATTTTATTGTGTATCTCCCGAACTAGAACATAAGATATTCGGGTGTAAAAATTTATCTGTGTTATTCAAAGCTCTACCTCCAGTACCTATAACAAAGAACTGAATTCTTGGAATCATCATTGTCATGCAGCACATACAGTTGCCACCTTATGGACATTAGTTCAGGTCCTGGCTGCTGCACTTTCCATCCAGCTCCCTGTTAATGTGCCTTGGAGGGCCATAGAAGATGGAACAAATCTTGGGCCCCTGCCACCCACGTGGGAGTCCTGGAAGAACCCCCTGACTTTAGAGTGGACCAGCTCCAGCTGTTGTGGCCATTTGGGTAGTGAACCAGCAGATGGGAGATTTCTCTGTCTCTGTGTAACTCTACCTTTCAAATAAATAAATAAATCTTTTTTTTTTAAAAAAAAGAACTGAGTTTTTAGTAGCTGGTTAATAGTTATCTGTGGGGTAGATATGTTACACAGTGGTTAAAAATCATTACCTGGGATACCTATATCCCGTATCTGAATGCTGGTTCAAGTCAGGGCTGTTCAGCTTATGATACAGCTTCCCATTAATGTGCACCTTGGGAGGAAGCAGATGATGGCACATCTGAGCTCCAGGTTACTGGATTTGGCCAGGTCCAGTGCTGCTACAGGCAGCGGGGGGTGAACCAGCAGATGGAAAATCTCTATCTCCCTGCTTCTCACAATAAAAAAACATTTTAAAAAGATTATTTGTGCAATAATCAATCGATTGGGAGGGATTCTAGGCAATTAGAGAAGGAAGTGTCTCAAATATTTAACTTAAAAATAAATTTCAATTCCAAGAAAATGCTGATTCCATTTACAGGAATAATAGAATTGAAATGTGAACCCAGTTTGGAGAGTGATGGAACATTAACTTGAGTTATGTGAAATTTGAAGTGATAAAATTTCTACCCTAGGCTGATTCTAACAAAATGGTTATAAATATGAGGCTGAAGTTCAAGATAAAGCTTAGGGTTACTGATATAAATTTGGGCATACAAAGATCAAACAACAGTGTCCTCAATGAAATAAATAAAGACTTGTTATTCTTTCACAAAAAGAAACATGGAAGTCAGCTATTCAGAACTTATATGGCAGCTTAGGGGGCAAGCTTCTTCTATCCTTACTACACGGCTTCCTTGCCATAAGGTCTTCCAATGATGATGGTGGGCTGACCATTATATCCACATTCAAGGCAGAAAGGATGAACTGAGAGGGTCTACCTTCCACTTGAGTCAGCCTATATTAAGACCTTTCTGAAAAGCTCTATTCAATGACTTGTGCTTATATATCATTGGTCACCATGAATGGAAAAGAATGAAAATAATGTGAGGCAGGTCATTGATGGGTCTAATAATCAGTATAAGACTAAAGGAGAAGAGAAGGTAGAGCACCTGAAAGGCCATATTACACTCATGAGTGGTATGCTAGCTTCCTAGAGCTGCCAGGACCAAGTACCACTCACTGGCTAACTTAAAACAACATTTACTGTCTTGGAATTCGAAGGACTATGTTCTGTCTAATGCTGATCAAGGAATCCTACTTTGCCTCTTCCCAGCTTCTGGTGGTTTATAACTAAAATCTTTGTCATTCCTTGGCTTGTTGATGCATTGCTTCAATTTTTAGTCTTCAAAGAGCATTTGCTGTGGGTGTTTTCACATAGTCTTTCCACTGTGTCTGGCAATCTCTTTTCAAATTTCCATTTTAAAAATATTTGGGAAGGAGGCAGAGAGGGAGAGAAAAAGAGAATATTCCTATTTGCTGGTTCCTGCAAGGGGGAGCTGAGCCAGGAGCGGGGGATGCAATCCAGGTCTCCCAAGAGGGTGACAGGAAGCAAAATGTTTGAGTCATCATCACTAGCTCCAAGAGTCTGCATTGCTAGTGTTCTGGAGTCAGGAGCTATAGCAGGAAATCAAAACCAGGCACCCTAATGTGGCATGGTGATATTTTAACCACCAAGCTAAATAAATACTCTTTTTTTTCCATGTTATAAGGACAGCAGTTGTATTGGACAAGGCCCCATCCAAATTACATCATCTCAAGTTGGTTAAATAAGCAAAGACTTTGTTTCCAAATAAAGTCACATTCTGAGGTACTGGGAGTTAGCACTGCACATTATCTTCTTTAGGGAGAACTAATTCAATCTGTAACAATGACCATTGCATTAACTGTGTGTTCCAAAGCATGTGCTGTTGTGAACTTATAAAGATACAGTATACTTTACAATTTTGAGGGAAATGTAACCATATATATCAAGAATATATATATATATATATCGAACTCTGTAGAAATTACTAAAGTCATTGACATTAGATCTTCTGTCTGCCTTTTAAGTGATATTTTTGAAATCCAAATTTTCAGATAAAAATCAGTGTGGAAAACGAGTGTGAGGGTATCTAGTGTGATCCTGAATTTTTAGGTTTTGAGGAATTCAACAGGCACATATATCCCATTGGCAACTGTGTTTGTGTATAACTAAATGAATATTCAGGTATGTCATGTTTCTAAACAGGAAGATGTGCATACTTACTAAGTTGTTTGGATGTGACTCCTTGGCAAATAGAACTGTTCACATTCCCCTTGGTCTAAGGGTCTTTTGAAAAATTACTGAGTTACTAAGGAATTTGTGAAGCTAGAAAAATTTGATTAAGGAGTTTGGGAGAAGGACATTGACAAACAAGTACCATAATGTGTTGCAGAGTTCTGAAAGAAATCTATATGGATAAAGGAGTGCACAGTCCAGTCTCAGATGAAGGATAACTTTTCATCTGATTTTAAAGATCAAGAGTGAGGGGCTGGCGCTGTGGGGCAGCAGGTTAATCCTCCCTCTGCAGCGCTGGCATAACATTTGGACACTGGTTCTATTCCTTCCCGGCTGCTCCTCTTCCAACCCAGCTCTCTGCTGTGGCCTGGGAAGGCAGTAGAGGACGGCCCAAGTCCTTGGGCACCTGTCACCTGTTTCCTGGCTTTGGATTGGCGCAGCTCCAACCGCTGCGGCCATTGGGGAGTGAACCAACAGACGGAAGACCTTTTTCTTTGTCTCTCCCTTTCACTGTAACTCTACCTCTCAAATAAATAAATAAAATCTTTAAAAAAGGATCAAGAATGAGTTAATGTTGCAAAATACTGCAGATTGGAAGAGAAGGGGTCCTGGGAATGCACACAGAACATGGGCTTGTGGAAAGTACACTGTGTAGAAGTCCTCTCTTTCAGAATTTGAGAAGCAATAGTAGGTAAGGAAATGGATGAAATGAGTGTATGTAG